TCATCAGCTGCTTCGCAGTTGGCGACGGTGAGTCGACAACTTCGTGAAATGGTAAAGTAGAACGACATAGGACTGAAGTGCCCTATGAACAAAGAATTCGCTTACTTCTGTTCAAAAGTACTGCAGTTAATTTTGCCTGGTTAACTCTGAGAGCATTTTGAAGCGCTGCAATATGTCTTGAACCAGACGATATCATATTTCTTGCCTGGGCATAGAAAGAAACATAAATTTGCTGCATTGGAAAGTTTCTACCCCGAGGAATACTGGAAAATTGCATACAAATCAAAGGGCTGATTTCACTCTCTGAATACGGTTCAAGCATGATCCGAGACTGAAGAATAAGTATAGAATAAATTAAAAATGCGCTGTCATCGTGTGAAAGATTTTTTTAACTCTGATTTACCCTCGATTTAAAGAAATGTCTCTACCATATCTTGATTACATACAGCATGTTATATAATCTGTACAAGATTCGCCTGAGGAATTTTTCGACTTGTTGATCAAATAATGCTAACGCGCAGAGTTCGCACATATGGATAAACCGAATTCGTTGCAGGCTGCCTATCAACGACTCAGTCACTGTAGCTTTGATGAAACTTCTGCCGAACGAGCGACAATCGGACTGAAACCGGTCTGCCCGCGATGGTCAAAGGCATGATTAATCGTAAGCCAGATACGATCGCATTATGTCGCCAACGATTGCTCGAGGAGAGGCTCGCCGCCACTGCCGCCGCCATGGCCTCAGCGCATCGTTTCAGTCACTCTTCGTTGGCGAACTCACGAACTCTGGTGGCAACAGTAAACCAACAACTCTAAAAACGACGCTCAAAGCGAACAAAATCTACAAATTCAAGAAATGTGCCACCGAAGGAGTGTGGCATCGGTGGAAACTGCTGAAACAAAGAATTGATATGATCGGCTCGTTTAATGACAGTGATAGCAATGCAGGACGTCGCGGTAGTGACACTCAATGCATAACTCGAATTACAACGGCCTTCATGTAATTACTGGCGATACCAATCGACGCGAACGTGCAGAAGACCGAAGCTTGGGTCAAGGACAGTAGCTGCATGCGTGGCGCGCAGACTCGCCGTGATCATGCCCCACACGGTTCAGAGTGAAAGTGAGCGACTCCGGAGGAACAGGCTCGAAGAACTCAGCGCTGGCGGAACACAGTATAATAAATAATCATGTCAGTGAGTAACAAAGCTAAAGCAGT